TCACCCTAGCTCACAACAACATCAGACTCCTGACTCAAGTGATCTTCCTGTTTCTGCCTTCCAAGTAGCTGGGACTGCAGGTACCCATCACAACACCCAGCTAAGTTTTCTATTTTTAGTAGAGATGGGTCTTGCTTTTGCTGAAGCTGGTTCAAATTCCTGCACTCAAGGGATCCTCCCACCTTGGCCTCCCAAAGTGCTATGATTACAGGCATGAGCCAAGTTATTGTCTTAATCATTTCTTTGGTAGACATTTCAGGTTTATTAAGGTTTACTTATAATTTATATAAAAGACTGTAATATCAGACTTAACCCAAGGATCAAAGTTTTATTTATTTTACTTTATGATTATTACTAAACATCATTTTTTTCATGTTGGTATCAAAATGAACTGCTTCTCATCATAAAGTCATAAAAGTGAAAGGTTGACAGGGTTGGAGCTAAACCTCAGATTTCCTAATCTTTGATCAAAGCTGTTTCTATTCCCTATAAGAAAAAGAAGTTTACTAATTAATTTTGACTTCGGATTCAAAATTAACTGCTTTATTATTTAATACCAATTATGAACTAAGTGTAGCTCAGAAAATGCAACCACCCATAAATATGTTCAAACAATAAAGATTAATGGGCTCCATTTTTTTAATCATTTCTAATTTCTTTTGGTTCAACTGGGAAGTCAGAGAACCTGACTATTTCCCAGTTGACTTATTCTAAAAAGGCTTAGAAAGGTTTCCCTTGTTGGGAAGATAAGGATAGATTAACATTCCTCTCAGCTTGACTAAACTTTAGACAAGTTTCTTTCTGACTTTAGGCCATGATCTACCTTTTAGAGCAGTGGTCCCCAACCTTTTTGGCACAGTTTCATGGTCCCTGTGGCAGGACAATTTTTCCACGGATTGGAGTGGGGGAATCAGTTAGATTCTTGTAAGGAGAGCACAGCGTAGATCCCTTGCATGGGCAGTTTACAGTAGGGTTTGTGCTCCTATGTGAAAACAAAGCCGCCGCTAATGTGAAGGGAGACGGAGCTCAGGCAGTGATGTGAGTGATGGGATATGAGTGATGAGCAATGGCTGTAAATATAGACGAAGCTTCCCTGGCTCACCTGCCTCACCTTCTGTCCTGTGACCCAGTTCCTAAGAGGCCAGAGACTAGACTGGTACCAGTCTTCCCCAGGGTTGGGGACCATAGTTTTAGTGCATTTACTTGAGAAAACTTTCATTTGTAAAGTCTTCCTCTGCCCCTTGGAGATGCAAAACTTAGAAAAGGATTTTTTTTTTTTTTGGCAGCTTTACATCTAGAATTGCCTTTCTCGGGATCTTAGGAGCCATCCCTTTGAAATGTCTTCATCAAGGAAAACAACGCCGTCACTCCTACTTCACTCGGCTACAATTAGCAAGCATTGATGGTCACACAGAGGAAAATATCTGTAAATTCAGGGGCAACTCAATGTGCTGGACACATCCTATTGATCAGGCTCCCTCTAACCTCCTTTGGTAATTTTCCATAACCCATCCTAACATTTAAAAACCTTTCAGACCTTTGTTTCAGCACTGTTGAGTGTACACTGAGTGCTGGACTCTTGCATATTGTAATAACCTTAAATAAAATCTTGCTTAACTTTATCCAGCATAATTTTTTCTTTTACAGAAATTAAGTGAAAGCCAGGGAGAAGCCCTTATGTTGATGATGGGGAGATACATTTGACTTCATAAAAGCTAAAGATGTTTTCTGTCTTAGGGGAACTGATGATGATTTCTTATTTTGGACTGATAGCATCCCTTGCATGTGCCTTGATGGAGACTTCAGAGCACGGAACACAGAGTTGTGGGGTCTTCAGGTTCTGATTGTGCTAGCAGCAGGGGCAAATACTTTCTGATCTCAGCAAGCTGGCTTTACTCAGCCAGTTATCTGATATTAACCACTGCTTTTAGGTTATTCACAGCATGAAACCAATGTCTTGTGTTTAGTGTGAGCATCACTTAAGGGTCAAATTTTCTTCATGCCGGTCTTTTCTTTCTTCTTTTCTTTTCTTTTCTTTTCTTTTTTTCCTTCTTTCTTTCTTTTGTTTCTTTCTCAATCTTTCTCTCTCCTTCCTTCCCTTCTTTCTTTTCTCCTTCCTTCCTTTCTCTCTCTCTCTCTTTCTCTCTTTCTCTCTTTCTCTCTTTCTCTCTTTCTCTCTTTCTCTCTTTCTTTCTTTCTTTCTTTCTTTCTTTCTTTCTTTCTTTCTTTCTTTCTTTCTTTCTTTCTTTCTTTCTTTCTTTTCCATTGTGTTGTTGAGAATGTCTATGACCCCAGGACAAATTATTATACAGTACAGCCCACCCTCTCAAAGCACCATTCAATGATAACTATCCATTGGTGATACTTAGATGTCTAATATACCTTGGAGGATCACAGAAATTTCAGGTTTGAAGGACAAAACCCTATAAATGAAGGTTCTATGTGTCAAGTGTTTATTTGTGTTATCTTGGAGAACAGCAGTAGGAAGATTTTTGCTATAGCAGTTAGCATGGGAAATTCAGTCTGATGGGACATGAGAACTCTGTGTGAGGGTGTGGTTGCCTGGCAAAATAATCCTAAAGTGCTGGCAAGAATATTGTGCCTGCAAAGTGCAGGAATGGGGAACCTGGGCTAAGGACCACCAGGTAACATGAAACACTGGTGTACACACACAAAGCCTAGGCCCGGAGCAGAGCACAAATCTCATGAGGCACTGGTCGAGTGGTGAAGCCCATGTCTGGAGTTAGGTCCAGGTTCAGATGGCAGACCCCAGGGGGTGGCTGGAAGGTGAACTTCTGCAGGAGGCTGGTGAAGAAGAGGAAAAGCTCCATCTTGGCCAGTGACTCACCAGCACACATCCGGCGACCTGGAGAGATGGACATGTCGGAGAGTTAGAAGAAATATTGGCACAAAAATTTGAAAAAATATCTGGACAAAGACAAAAATAGTCCACGTGTGATTTCTTCCACTTTGGCCTGAGTCAGTCACTAAACCTCTTCTGAGCCTCACTAGCTCTGTCTCCCAGTATAAGCCCTGGAAATACAAAATTAATTACAAATGTGAAATGTGAAAAATGTTAACCCAGGCAAATCTAAGTACAACAGAGGAATATATAAAAAGGTACCTAGAAGGTTAAAGGTTAAGAAGGTTAAACCTAAGAAGGTTAAAGAGGGATCATCCTTTGTACAAGAACTTTATATCTAGGCTCTTGTACAAAGGGCAAGAAAGAATTAGCCACATAAAGATGGAAAAGATGTAAAGGGGGTTGCGATGTATTTGAAAGCTGAAGGAAATCTGACTCAGGCTAGAGCAAAGCATGAGGTAGGTCATCTGAAACGTGAGGCCAGAGGAATAAGAAGGGATTATAATATGGGACCCTGGAAATCAGTGTTGTTAAACTCCTGCAGCATTTTGAAAGGAGAGTCTTGTTTAGTATTATTTTGAAACATGAATTATTTGGGGGAAATGTCAAGATATTTGAACAGAATTAAGTAAAATTGAAAAAGAAAGCCTTGTAGGTAGGTTCTTGTTAAAACAACAAAACTTGGGTCTTAGTGATTCTATGATATATGTTCCTTAAAACATACTGTGTTAAGAATGGCGCACTTTTTTCAGCTTAAATTTAATAAGCTTTGTGGTTGTCCTATAGACAAAAAATAGCACCATATATTTGGCTAAAATGTAGCATTATTAAAGGTTTCTGCTTCTAGTCCAAGCAGAAACCAAACCAGTTCTAGAAGACCAAACCAGTTCTTTTCGATCCTGCTTTTAGAGTTGGTAAATCCTAAAATGGCTGCTTGCTTTATGGCCAGTAAAATGTTGTATGCAGTCCAGTTAGATGTAACTTTTTATTTTTGAGACAGAGTCCCACCCTATTGCCCAGGCTATAGTGCCGTGATGTCAGCCTAGCTCACAGCAACCTCAAACTGCTGGGCTCAGGCAATGCTCCTGCCTCAGCCTCCCAAGTAGATGGGACTACAGGCGCCTATCACAATACCAGGCTAATTTTTCTATTTTTAGTAGACATGGGAGTCTCACTCTTGCTCAGGCTGGTCTCAAACTCCTTAGCACAAGAGATCCTCCTGCCTCACCTTCCAGAGCCCTAGGATTATAGGTAGGCACAAGCCACACGCCCAGCCTAGATTTCACCTTTTCTTCTTTAACTTGGAAGACAAGTGTGACAAGTGTACTGAGTCACAAAAGATCTCCAAGTTCACAAAAATATTAAAAGGTAGATATTGTATAACCTAGGAAAAGTTTCCCAAATTTGTACTTTTGTTTATATAAGACCTCCAGTGAATATATTAATTCCACAAATGGGGGAACATTTTCTCACCGAGCCTAGTAACAAGACAGTATTTTTTTTATTTCTTTTTCCTTGAAAAAAGATATTTATTAAACAACTTTAATTGTCATAAAATGACTAAAATGGGCTTTAAAAGTTAAAGCTATTTTCTTTCTATGGATTGCCAGAACAATGTAACTATATCAATCAACCCTGTTAAATGCTTTGTTCCTAAAGTTAAATTTAATCGATTCCTAAACATTTTATGATTTAGGTAAAATAAGGACTATAGATGACCATTAATGGCCATCTTTACTGAACACATACGTTAATTAGGTATACAATATTCTAATTGAATAGCTAATTAAAATTTAAAGCATAAATTTTAATTGTAGCATCTTAAAGTCATTCAAGTTTTTAACAAGATACAGGTATTTAACTCCATTTTGAGACTTGCTCTCAAGGGCTTTATGGTATACTAAGTGAGTTCTATAAATAAATACATAATTATTATACAGTGCCATAGATGTGATAGGATTTTGAGGTTGCCCGTGGAAGGAATTCCTAACTTAGCTGTCTGAGTTAGATTTTCCCACTTGCCCAGGAATGAAGGCATTATTGAGTGGTGCTATCTAACTAGATAAAGCATCTTAGGGTATGAGTTGTCTACCGCATACATAGATTTTGGTTTTATGGTTCAAGTCTGGCAATCCAACAAAAAAGCATACATTATTATAGTTTACTCTTAAGAATAAGTAAGTGATCACATAGTAGAATGATTTATTCATTTGAAAAAGAAATGCTGTGGAGGCCAGTTAAAGATGTTTAGATCAAATAAGCCCTCCAGAGAGCAAAATTTCTATCTTAATGTGGTAATTAGTAAATGACAAGGAAAGAGTTGGTGGGATGAGGGCCTTAAACAGGGCTGGAAGAATGTGAGGATTTGGAGCAATTTGAGCACTCATAAATTGAAGTGCAAAGTTGGTTTCATGATGGTTTTCCTCATTGTGACAGTTTGGTGTTAATTATATTTTAGGAATATTTCCATTTGTAAAAAAAAAAGCATTATTACTTCTGCATTTCTTTGATAAAAACAGAAAAAGAAGCCCCAGTATAACTAGGCAAATTTAGAATTCCTGAGGCCAGCTGGGCAAAAAATCCTTTGAGAACAGGCAACTGTGCAAAGATCTAGACTATTGCTGCTTATCACATAGTCCCAGGAAGCATTCAGGTCTCTGTGAGTGAGAAATCAGGGAGAGCCTGTAAACAAGGGTGATCAGGTTCAAAAGAAAAAGGAGGCTGGGGGTGGTGCTCAGGCCTGTCAGGGGAAGATTGCTAGAGTTCAGGGATTCAAGACCAGCCTGAGCAAGAATGAAACCTTGTCTCTACTAAAAATAGACAAAATTAGCCTGGTGTGGTGGGAGGCTGAGGCAGGAGGATTGCCTGAACTCAGAAGCTGCCAAGTTTCAGTGAGCTTGGCTCACGCCACTGCACTGTAGCCTGATGACAGAGTAAGACTCTGTCCAGGCTGGGTGATAGAGTAAGACTCTGTCTAAAAAAAAAGAGTAATGGTCATTCACAGTAAAAATGGGCTGTCAAGGAAAACATAATTCTTTCTCTCTAAATGCTAACAGCAGTAACTCCAACAGTGGATAAAAAGATCTGGAAAATATGTTTGGGAATGATAAAATCATTCATTCATCTTATCGCTCACAAAATGAGGGTTTGGAGTTAGATAGAGTTCAAGTGCCCTCCAGAGACCGTTTTATGTTTATGTTCTTATGGCTCATCTTTTTGTTCTTTTTTGCAAAATATAAAGTCAGGAAGAATTGAGAGAAATGTGTATATAATACAAATAATATGTACATTGTTTTTCATTTCTTTTAATTCTTATTGTAGATTTTGTAAGTTATGAATACAGGTAATATTTTCTCAGGTATCACATTCTCTCTCTCTCAGAGACTCTGTATCTCTGTATTACTTAGTTATCAGTGGGTGGAGGAAACCCTTGGGGTGGCTACTGTTCACCCGTCACCCAGTGGGTATCTGGAGTGACGTCTTAGCTGTTGTTTGCGTAAGTAGAGGCCAAGATGACAAAGTGCTTGTGGCGTAGTTTGTGAAGTCTGCTAGAGACAGAGATCCAGACAGTTAGGGAGTAAATTCATTTAGTTCTCTAATTTCAAACTTGACATAAGTAAAAAGCTCCTATTTCCACACCTCAAAGAAATCTTATGAGAAGCCCTGGAATTTACACGTATTAAGATAGAGCTTTTGTGGCTGCGGGAAGTAGACTGCCCATCGTCTCCCTGTTTAACTTTGTCCTCAAACTCCTGAGGCTCTACCCTAACCGCTGCCAAAAGGGAGCTTCCCGGTGTCCCTCAGAAAATGCTGTCCCAATGCCTCATGTCTCACAGCTCCTTGCATTCTTCCACACTCCTGAAGTTAAGTGCCACGTGAGAAAGTACCTAACCTTAGCACAGCTCTAAGGCAGGGCCAGTCTCTCCAGATTTTTCAAACCACCTTTTCAAGTAAGAAAAAGTGTCCTTACCCACTGAGAAGGGCATGAAAGCTTCCTTCTTGATAAACTTTCCCTCAGAGCTGAGGAAATGCTCAGGATTAAAAGCATCTGGTTTTTCCCACTGTGTTTGATCCCGGAGTACTGAGGTCAACAAGATGATGACCTCAGTGCCCTAGAAATAAAAATGTAATTAGTGACAGAGATTAAATTCCTGCCTAGAAAGGAAACCTCTGTAAAAATGTGCTGTGATTTTGGTTGGCAGTTCTCAGATGCAAGACTGGAAAGAAAAGAAAGAAGGTGAATCAGCGAGGTGGCAGGCAGGGCTTATGACCCCGTGTGGATGATCCACGTAGCCACATTTTTATCCAGTACCTACTGAAAAGCATAAGCCTTGGACTCAGAACTGAGAACAAATTCTCAAGTGGTCCTGTAGTGGTCAGCACGTTATTTGACTTTTGATTAACCCCACTTTCTAAATGTGTCTGATGAGAAGGAAATGGCCTTCATTTGGGAGGACTGTGACCCTCAGAGGAAAGGACACACACAAAAGACCCCAGCGCAGAGCCTCCCAGTTTTGTGGGCTTGCTGACAGTTTGCTGTGTTCTCTTCAGGGAGATGGTAGTGGATGCTAAAGCCAACAAACCATCAAAAAAATCTCAAAAATGAGCTTCCCTGCCTCCATAACTTGCCACATACCATGAAACAATTTTCTTTATTTCTCCTTTCCTTTCCTTTCTTTTTATTTTTGAGACACAGTCTCGCTATGTCACCCTTGGTAGAATGCTGTAGAGTCACAGCTCACAGCAATCTCAAACACTTGGGCTTCAGTGATGCTCTTGCCTCAGCCTCCCAAGTAGCTGGGACTACAAGCACCCACCACAATGCCCAGCTGTTTTTTAGAGATGGGGTCTCACTGTTGCTCAAACTGGTCTCAAACTCAGGCAATCCACCTGTCTCAGCTTCCCAAGTGCTGGGATTACAGGTATGAGCCAGAGTGCGCAGCAAAACAATTTTCTTAAAGGAAAAAATATTTTTTATTGTGATATGGGAAAGGGTATTCTGAGGACTAAAATAATTAAAGAAAAATAGTGATAAAAAAGAAACACTATCCCCCAAATTTAGGATGATATTCATATTTACTACTTTATCCTGATTAATCGCAGCTGCTCTATTTTTGCTTTTTGCTCCTTTCACATAAGGTCTTGCTCTGTTGCTGGGATAGCATACATTAGCCTCATCACAGTTCACAGTAACGGCAAATTCCTGGCCCAAGCAATTCTCCTGCCCCAGCCTCTCGAGTAGCTGGGACTTATGGATGTGAGCCGCCCACCATATCTAGCCACGGTTGCCTCTTTGTATTACTGTCTTCATGGTTAGTTGTTTTATCACATAAATCTGTATAATTTTTGAGTCACTCACAGCAAATCACTGCTTTAAAATAACCTATTTTGAAACTTTAGGCTGGGTATGGTGGGATTTGACTATATTCATAGCTACTCTGTAGGCTGAGGCAGAAGGATGACTTAAAGCCAGGAGTTTGAGACCAGCCTGGGCAACAGATCAAGAACCTGTCTTTTAAAAAGATAATAATAAGGCCAGGCATGGTGGCTCAGGCCTAGCACTGTGGAAGGCCAAGGCAGGAGGCTTCTTTGAGCTCAAGGGTTTGAGACCAGGCTAAGCAAGAGTGAGACCCTGTATTTACTGAAAATAGAAAAACTACTTGGGCATTGTAGAGGGTATGTGTAGTCCCAGCTACTTGGGAGGCTGAGGCAGGAGGATCGCTTGAGTCCAGGAGTTTGAGGTTACTGTCAGCTAAGTGATGCCATAGCACCCTAGCCTGGGCAACAGAGTAATAATAGAAAATATTACTCTGTCTAAAATTAGAAAAAAACTTTGTTCCTCTATCTATCAATAAATAGTTATATGTATTTGAGCATCATACACAGGCTACCTCCTCCTCTTAGCAACTGCACTAGGTTATTTTCATTTCACAAGAGATGACTTGGTCTCAGTGTGACTGAGTGACCCAGCACACAGTAGCAGGTGGGTGAGTGAGACCCCCTTTCCTTTTTGATACACTGCTCTACTTAGCAAGGTGTACAGCTGGAACTAAAATCCTGCCACTATTACTTTTCTATGAGTCTCCTTTAAACAACTTTTTTGGACTAGTTTGTATTTGTTTTTCCACATCATTGCTAATCTGATTAATTTAGTCCAGCAGTATATTTAATGTGTGCTGAGAAGAGTAACTCTAAAGATGAATATATTCTCCTTTCCCCTACAGGATAAGAAGTGATAGTGTGGAAAGGAGTCTACCTAGCTGCCGGGGTTCCTCCCCAGGGATGGGGTCCTTTAAGACCTATGTGACTGTCAGCGATGGACTGAAGAAAAATAAAGTTAAAAGCGGCAAGAGATAAAGAGACAGGACGTGCAGAATAGAGTTTTCAAAGGTGGGAACACAGGGGACCACTGCGAGCTTGTGGGTTCCAGTGAATGGCCCTGAGTGTTTGTTCCTCTCAGCTTTGATTGAAGGCTATTATCTCATTTAGCACAGAGGGCAAGCTGAGGAAGGGAACAAAAAGGTCAGCAGTTTCTCTGAATAAGCATGTTAGTTCTTATTCTGTCTATAATCATTAACTTCAAAGGTCTGAGCAGTCTTGAGAAATCTGAAGCCTGAGCCTTGTGTGGCGGCAGCCTCCTGCCTATGGTCATGCACACAAATTCCTTGGGGGTGGGGAGTTAATCCCTTTGCCCCTGTGGAGTAGACACCATGGCGTCATTCTCCTCTGAAGAATCCATGGAACAGAAGAATTTTCCTCTGATCTCCACCCCAGAGGCATTTTCCTCTGTTGTTTAGGGCATAAGTCCCCCTGCCCATATTTCAGGAGCTGAGCTGTTCCCTTGATCTCTGCTCTGGCCATAGTACAAATTCCCACAATAGGTATTTGCTTTGACTATTGACTAGGCAGGGGATGGCCTGGTTGCTGTTCCTCCCAAAGCCTTGGATGCAGCTTACTCTGTGGCCATTGTCTTTTTCAGAGTGTTTACAGATCTAGCAGGGGTGTTTGCAAGCTTACAGGCCAGGCTTCTAGCAAAAGCAGGACCTTCTCAGATAAGTAATTTATCTGCTGGTTTAAGAGTAAACTAGCTAAACTCTTTTTATTCTGCCTTGCTCAGCTTATTTCTCTGTTTTTCTCTTTTTCTGGGGGTGTTTTCCCTTGCGAAGAATAGGGTCTTCAATCCCCTTTCTGCCTGCAGATAACCAGTGGCCCTGTGGATTCCTGCAAATGTGGACCCAGAAGCAAAGAACAGACTAGGTTTTCAGAAAAAGAATAAATGCCAGGAATTCATGCCGATTCCTGCATTCAGCTTATTTCCGCAATTTACCAGTACATATCAGATGGGTGTGTCTAAATTTGTTAATATTGGGAAGCAGAGGGCATGAGCACATTTCTTTATGAGGCCTACCTATGAGGATTCTGATGGGAGCACACCTTACCTAGAATCTGACCTCCCTACTAAACAACCTTGCATTCCTGACCAATGCTTAAACTCCCCGAGCCCTAGTTTTTGCAGCTGTAACATAAAAATTAATATGCTTTACAAAGTTTAAGACAGTAATTACCACCTATTGCATACACACCCATCTGCAGACACTCACCTTTTGTCAAATGGTAAGGAAGGAGGCAGAGAGAGGGAGAGGGGAAGAAAGGAAGCTGAGTGGGAAAGGCAGGCCAGGCTTGTCTTTGACAGTTTATCTCGGTGTTTCTGTGGCTGTAAGCATCTGAAGTTCCCTCCCCACCACTCCCCTTCTCAAATCCTTACCTTTGGAATATAGTAATTTTTAAATATAATGTCTGTGGTTGTTGCCCGGGGCAAACCCGTGGGCAGAATGTTAGCAAATCTCTGTATTTCATGGATGACGGCATCTGTGTATGGCATTTGAGTTCGGTGTGCGATTCGAGGCTGGGCGGCTCCAACAACTTTGGCGATCTCATCACAAACCTTTTCTGGATAAAAGAGCAATAGAGTGCTTAGAGTCCGGCCTGGGAGTGGGTGTTGGAACAGTCTTTCCCATGCCCTCTCCATGTGGAAGTCAAACCCAGCTGTTCTCCCAATTGTGACTCCTCCTTCCCTGCACTACTTCCACCCCCTTGGTCTTTATTCCAGGGGCTCCTCTTGGATGGCTCAATGCCTTCAGCCCAGATCCATAAAGAACAAAATCTACTTTCTCATATTGAAGGGAAACTAATGATACAAAGTACAGGTACAAATTACAGGTGCCCTATGTGGTTTGTGAAATTCTGCATCGTCCAGTCCAAGAGGTTTCTTGTTTCTTTCTTTCAAGCAATGCTCTGGCTCTCCCAGGACTTACTCTGGATCTCAGGATATCGCATCATGAGCAGAATTCCCCAGCGCAGCGTGGAGGCTGTGGTCTCTGTACCTGCCGCCAACAGATTAGTAACAAGTGCCACCAAATTTTCATCACTGAAATAGTCAGTAGATGTATCTTTCTCCTGAAAGAGTAAAATGAATCAGTGATGAAATAATTTTATAATGGATGATTATAAAAAATAACTTCACATGGAATTTAGAAATAGAGTGTTGCTTTCTTCCTTCAATAGAATGGAATTTTCTTTTTTATTATACAAGTGTTACAGAGAATTTTAGAATAATGTGTATCCCAGTTGTAATAATGATAAATAATTCTAAAAATACTGTTTGCCATTTTGGAAATTAGTTTTAATTGAGTTATTAGACTATTCCCAGCCCTGTTTCTTTAATAAAGATTAATTAAATAATTTCTTGGGTTTGCCAATTGAAACACATTTCTTAAGATATTGAAAAAACAAATCAAAAAATTAACACATGTGAAATCTCTTATAGGTCTTGCACTTTAAAAGAGTGTTATGAAATATGATGGGAAATATTTGAGAATGCAAATGTAATAAATAGAGTTATTCAGAATGTAATAATTTACCATTAACTTGAGTCCACTTGTCTTTCTTCTTTGAAAGAAATGTTTTTCTTCACAATACTATTCATCAGACTAAATGATAGGCAATAATTTAAGGAAATTTCTAAGGAAAAAACTATTACCTCCTGCTGTCTGATCAAAAAGGCATCAATAAAACTTCGTGGGTCATTTTTGTCAAGTGTACGACGGTGACGTAGGAAGGTCATCCTTACAAAAGAAAATAATTCATCTCTATTCCTGAGCACTGTCTCATGGCTTTTTAGGAGGAAACCCAAAACAGGAAACATATTGAAAAGCTAGAAGAATAATAAAAAAGTAAATTAAATATATGTGTGTACTGTGTGTGACAACACAAATGACATCATTTGTAAAAGCATTATAGAAAGAGTACCTTGAATGTCACCTCAACTAATAGTGGCAGACTGATGTAGATGAGATATCCTCAGTTAGTGGATTAAGTAACTTGCAATGAATATTGATATGCCTTACAATAAATTTTATACACTCAGAGTATTTTGTGTGTTATGCTTGTGCTTGTGGCAGTAGATTTACTTAGAGGTTACATGAGACATGAAAATAATATTGGATTTATGGTTGGGGCTAGGAACCAAAGTTTATCTTACAAAATCCTGGATGATTCCAAGTAATTAATCAAACTTCTTTTTTTTTTTTTCCTTTTTCAGAGACAGGGTCACTCTCTTGTCCAGGCTGGAGCACAGTGGTTAACCAGTGTTCTCTATAACCTTCCCATTCTTGGGCTCAAGTGATCCTCTTGCCTTAGCCCAGGGGTCCTCAAACTATGGCCCACAGGCCACATGCAGCCTGCTGAGGACATTTATCCAGCCCACCGGGTGTTTTTGCCACCTCTGTCTGTCCTGCTTAGCAGCAGGTCATCTTGGGGCCCACAGTCCGGCCGCCCAGTGGTCTGAGGGATAGTGAACTGGCCCTCTGTTTAAAAAGTTTGAGGACCCTTACTAGCCGTCTGAAGAGCTGGGACTATAGGAGTACACCACCACACTTGGCTAATTTTTTCTTTTCTTTTCTTTCTTTTTTTTTTTTTCGAAATGGGAGTATCAATGTTGCCCCACCTGGTCTCAAACTTCTGACCTTAAGTGATTCTCTTGCTGTGGGCTCCCAAAGCATTGGGATTATAAGTGTGAACCAGCTGAAAATGGGACTTTTCTACACAGCACAAGAAATATGCCACAACTGTTTTCTGTAGGATCACAGTAATTTTAAAATTTATAGTAGCCTTACAGTCTGCAGGTGCTATAGAGCAGCAACACTTAACCTAATATTCACTGATCCTGAAAACGTTAACAAAAGTTACCATTTTGCATTTGTTAGTATGTGGGTCATTACAAAAGTTTTGTGATACACAAAAATCAAGAAACATAAAATCCATGAGTGGAAACAAATGAAGCCCTCCGGGCAACACCAATAAGCCAAGCAAGGTGAAACTTGCACGGGTGAATCAGAAAGGACACTGTCAAGTGTGTTTCCTGGAAGTGAAATAATGGACCGTAACACAGTCTGTCTCGAAACTTTTGTAGTGACCTTCGTATGTGTATTTATTTTGGGGAATGGGGGTCTGTATAATTAGTGTATATCCTTAAAGGGGTTTATGACCCTTTAAATGACTTAATAAACAGCAGAGATAAAAGGTCACACCTAGAATTAGATAGTATAATTACCTGTTCCAGTGTTCTTACCCAGCTGTATTTAGAGTAAAACTATATTTCTAGTAACAGAGCCTAAATGATTCCAGAGTGAAATCATATGGCTGTCAGTGGTGCTACTGAAGATGAAAACTATTTGAAAACGCTCTTTTTTTTCTGGATTCTATAAGATAGGGACTTTATAACTCACAATAAGAATTACCAGATACACTACCCAAGCAAGCTTGTGACAGCTGTGTACTCAGAATGTTCCAGAAAGTGTACATTTTTTGAAATAGTGGTTCTCTAATAAATACTTTTTCATGCTCTCTTAACCATCACATGTACTCCAGAAGAACTAAAAGTGAATAGGAAAAAGATACAGTTACCGCTATTCTAGGACCTCCGAGGAGTTTCATATTTTCACCAATCAAGGTTAAGAGTCTCAGGAACTGAGCATCGTGGTAATCAAACCTTTTCCCAAGCAACACGGACACAATGACGTTGGCAACAGAAGCATTCATAATTGTTCGGATCTCAATGGGTTTTCCTACAGGATAATTCATTAGCCAGGTTAGGGTTACTCACGTACACAGATTCTAACCAATTCCAGACTGGCTGTGACAGACCATCAAGTAAAGGACTTCATAAACGAAAGGGGATTATTGGTGACTGTGCCTTCAAGGAGAGGTAAGACTTGAATGGGGCTTAAGACATATCTAGAGTGTGTTCAAAAGATTATCACAAGCAACACAGAAAGTGTATGTCAAGGAAATTCTGCATTTGGTTTAAAGAAATAAAAATGTGTCAGGTGAGGGGCACTGTAATGCCGTTTGTGTGTGTTGGCAGCGTGTGCAGAGGGGAGGGAAATACATACTAGCTGGGAAAATGGCACTAAGACCTGACAGACCGCATTCAAGTTTAAAATAGGACATACGTGGGCTGTCCAGAAAGCTATGTAACACAAAACATAGAGATGTACGTGGCTGGATACTTTCTAGATGGCTCTCATATAGATGGTTTAAATCAGCGGTTCTCAACCGGTGGGTGGTGACCCATAGGAACTGTATTAAAGGGCCATGGCATTAGGTAGGTTGAGAACCACTGGTTTAAATGATTTCACTTTAAAGAACTTCATCCAGGGCATTCCTTGTTTCACTCTCTTCTGCTGCTGTAACCTGTTTTTCTCAGTACGATTGATGATTACTTGGATTATTAAACACGTGCCAATGGATGGGCATTGATTTTTAAGTGAAAAGCATTCTAGTGGCTAAGGTCCACTCTGAAAATCAGCATCTACATTAAATGTGGAGGCTGAAAGCCTAGGGAATTCTAGTGGAGAATATTTTTTCTTCTTCAAAACAAATGGGAGAGCTTGGAGGGTGCTGTGTACAAAAAGCTGAGAGAAATCAGCTTGTATTAGGAGCTTAAGACTCAGAGAGGAATAGTCATTTTTCCATATAAAATTTCAGCCTCACAGAACCTCTCTTTCTAAACACACAGTCACTACTAATTCAGAAAATGGACCCTTGAGCCCTGAGTTTCTTGTCTATCTTCTTCTCAGGGTTTGAGATTGTTACCTTTGACCATTTCTTTCCATATTAATTCATGCCTCAGTGGAATAATGTTAAAGTTACTTTTTTTTTAAGAAGTACTGAGCTCAGTTTAACAATAAGACACTTGACATTAAAAACAAGTTTCTGGATTATTCATCCTACATATTGATAAAAATAATATGTAGTTCTTTCTTTCTTTTTTTTTTTTTTAAGCGGCATCTCACTCTGTTACCTGGGCTACCGTGCCATAGGTTTGGCCTAGCTCACCACAACCTCAAACTCTTGGGCTCAAGCAATCCTCCTGCCTTAGCCTCTCTAGTAGCTGGGACTACAGGCACATGTCCCACATTTGAAATTTTTTTCTGTTTTTAGTAGAGATGGGGTCTTTCTTTGCTCAGGTTAGTCTGGAACTCCTGAGCTCAAGCAATCTTTTGCTGTTGGCCAGAATGCAGCATTATAGGCGTGAGCCCAGCCATAATATGGAATTCTAATGTATTATAGCAAGGGATCAGAAACATACCCATTACTAAGGAACTGTTCTATGAACTGCCTTGGTCCTGCCTTGAACAATTGCCCTACCTGGGAAGAAGAACACAGGCAGCTCCATCTTGGTCTTGGTGCTACACCACCTTAATCATATCCTGAGAAACTGCCACACCTGGGGAAGGGAGGCAGCCCTAGAAATCTGCAAAAGAATACTGGAAATTCGCCCAGGCCAGAAGGCCAGGCAGCCCAGGAGCAACAGGATTTGCAGAGTGACCTAGACTAATCTAAAGCTAATTATCCTGTAGTGAACGGTCCGTCAAGTAGTGCCATGTGAGCCAAGAGGAGCACTCAGTCCAGACAGTATACATCAGGATAAGAACCCAGACAATTACCAGAGCGTCTTTGTAGCTATATGGGGTCGTGTCTGTGGCAAACATTATCTTGCTCTTATCCTGCAAACCTATATCTTGCTCCTGCTCTGTGAAGCACTTTCTCTTCCTCAATAACCATCATTTCATGCTCGTCTTGCTTTTGGTGGGTCTGATCATTCTGCAGTAAAAAGCACATCAAGAACTGAGAATGCAGACATCTACCTGAACCTGACAATAATATGTCAGTATTAATTTCCTCAGTTTTTAAAATTCTCCTGTGTCAGGGCTGGGCACGGTGGCTCACGTCTGTGATACTAGTACACTGGGAGGCTGAGGCAGGGGGATTGCCTGAGCTCAAAGGTTCAAGACCAGCCTGAGCAAGAGCAAATTTCTATACTAAAAATAGAAAAAAGTATGGGCAATAGCCAGGCATTGAGGCAGAGCCTGTAGACCCAGCTTCTCAAGAGGCTGAGGCAAGAGGATCTCTTGAGCCCCAGAGTTTGAGGTTGCTGTGACCTATGATGCTACACACTCTACCAGGGGCAAGAAAGTGAGACTCTGTCTCTCTCAAAAAAAAAAATTCTGTTTATGTAAGAGAATGTTTTTGATTTTTGTAAAGAAATATTGAAGCATTTAAAGGCAAAAGGTGTCTGCGAAATCAAAAAATAATTTATATATAGACAGCTAAATACAGAGAAAGCAAGACAGAGAGAGAGTGTGTGCACACAAGTAAATGTAAAATTACGGACACGGAGAATCTTAGAGATGAGTAGAAGGGTGTTGGGGATTATTCTTGGGATTTTTCTACAAGTCTGAAATTAGGTCAAAATAAACAATTGGAAACATGCCTATTATTGACTTCTTTCTCATGAAAAAAAGATAACAGCTTTACTTATTCTACACACCTCTTTGGCACTCCAAGTTGAGTATCAGATGCTGGCATTCCTCTATAATTCTATCTTCTATGACCCTCTTGCCCATTCCAAAATTCCTCAAGGTGGTCAAGCTGAATCTTCTCATAGTTTTCCACGTCTCACCATGGGAGAAGGCAATTCCTTGTAATGAAGAAAATGTCCTTAAATGATTACCTCCAAGCTTTTCAAATTTAATTTCCAGGGACAAATAAAAGATTTAATTCTCCCTGTCGACAATAAAAAGAAAACTTTTCCCTCCCTCTTTTTTCTTAGAGCAGTTTAGAGACTTAGAAAGTTTCTTAAACTTTTTTTACTTTAAAAAACTTTGCAGGAACTTTCTCCTCTCTTGGAAATGTACAGAAGTCTCTTTGAAAAGTAGATAGTGTTTTTATCAGCTCTAAGACCCAGGAAAGTCTTTTTTTTTTTTTGCAGTTTTTGGCCAGGGCTGGATTTGAACCCACCACCTCTGGCATATGGGGCCAGCGTCCTACTCCTTTGAGCCACAGGTGCCACCCCCAGGAAAGTCTTTTTCAGGGAGCTGGGAGCAATCTCAGAAATGACAACACCAAGGGAGATAGCACCCTTATCTCTCAGCACAGGTGAGGATGGAGGCCTATGTTCAATGGGCACTTATCCAAGTTGCAAATCTACCCCCAACATGAGCATAGGATGAATTTAGTTTTCCTTTGTATAAAGCCAACTAACACAGATGGTCACCCCCAATTACTGGACAAATCTGGGATGACTACTTACTGCTACTTAAGGACTAATGACTGTTGTTCTTGAGAACGCCTAAGTAATGCAGCCCAAGGGCTTGGTTATATAAAAGGGTGCGATTTCTTTCTGCATTTTCAATCATTGAGTGTATCGTGATGCACATCATTCTTATTTAATGCTTATTCAATAATAAAGTATTTTTTTTTTTCCTATTAACCTTGTGGAGAGAATTTCTGGGTTGGGGGAGATTTTGTTTTCAGTTATGCTTCCTCATAAACTCAGTAAGGAATTCTTGACTATCTACTATCTGCTTATATCATGGTAGGTGTGGTTAAGGGGCTGTTGACCATTGCAAACAAAGTCTCTTGCCAGGAAATTCCCAGAAAAAGAAATATTCCAAAGACTCATACCTGCGGAAAATGAGTGTGAACAAAGTTAAACAAGGTTTTGGTGTTCTCCTGAGGCTTTAACATGCCAGTGACCCAGGAGAGAGCAACGAGAGGACTATGATATCCACTATTTGCCAAATTCACTTCACTGATCCTGCTTTTTTTCATAGAACATCTACTAATATCTTGTGGAACTAGATTTGGGAGGATAATAGTGCGGGCAATGGTTGTTAAAAACATTATTGAAACAATAAGATTGTCCAGGGATATTTACTACAAGTCAATATGGGTTTACTAAAACTAATGGCAATGTAAAATTATTTCCACTTTTAAAGAACTCTTCACCAAGATATTTAACAAAGATTCATGATCAACATGCCTCTTGAGAGGCAGGGAACCTGTGGCCTTCTGATTTCAAGATCCTTCCTTTTTAAGCACCAAAGGAGGCAAGAAAAGCTTCATCTTTCTCTGTTACATCCCTTTTAATAAAAAGATTTATTATGTAAAATTTGAATTCAGTCAAAAGGTTGCACTTCTCCACCCTGCCCCGGCAGCTCTATCTCTTCTGTCTTTGTATTTCTTCGGCATCTAACATTGTATCTTTTATCTACTGAGAGGTTAATAATTATTTAATAGAAGTAATTATCATATAAAATCAGAACAAAACCACAACTTAAACATTTTCTCTTTGGTAATTTCTGTTGGTGTAATATATATATTGATGAATAAAAATTTAAACCACAAAAGAAATTATGCAAGAGAATAGAGTCTAACTGAGTTAATAATTTTAACCACAGGGATATATTTTAATGTAGAGTTCATTACCTTTTCCTTCAAAAAGTCTTTCAAATATAGGAACTTGAGATCGTTCCCCAAATTGATCACCATAATTAATGAGGGCGTCTTTCACTGTCTCATGGCCAGAGAGCACCACCACCTTCTTTGGTCCCATGTGGATGCTGTAAATGGAGCCGTATTTCTGCGACAGCTTAGGTGGAAAACAAAAAGAGAAGTAACTACAATATCATGCTATAGTTAAAAGTAATGTGGATCTTGGTCTTTGGTAATTTAGCTAATTTCAAGAAACTAACTAGTTTTATGATCGTAGGACCTAACTTTGGGCTGGTTCACTATGGATACTTCTGTGACTGTTACACCTGCTGGAGCCATTTTCTAATCACTGTGATTATCCTTAAGCTCCATTTCATTTCTAATTTTATAGTAACAATGCTCTGAAATTATTAAATAAAACCTTAGTTTTTCCCTATTATATTTTTGTTTGGTCTCAGAGAATGCCCACGCAGGACTCTAGGAGACTAAACACTTGCGGACTACCAAACTCACCGCCTACACACCTTATCCCTTGTGGAGTACTGTGATCTTAGCCAGCCCGAATTAGTTGTACATTACTGTATGACACTAAAAAAATTTCATTTTCTTTGATAACTGAACAATAACAAGAATCATCATGTATTGCTTCCTAACTATATTCCCAGCTCCATCTCCTTCGGTGTACAATATAAACCAGTGAGAAAGATATTATCATCTCCTCTATAGGCAAAGTACTGGGGCTTCCGAAAGTCACACAGCTAGAAAGGCATACACATTCTGTAGCTCCCTGGTTAGGGGGACTGTGATCTGAACCCATCTGAGTTTAGGTAAACAATGAGATGGCAACTTCCAGTGCTCCCATAATCCTAGCACTCTGGGAGGCCAAGGCGAGGTGGAGGATCCCTCAAGCTCAGGAGTTTGAGGAAATTAGCCTGAGCAAGAGTGAGACCCTGTCTTTACTAAAATTAGAAAGATTATCCAGGTGTTGTGGCAGGTGCCTGTAATCCTAGCTTCTCAGGAGGCTGAGGCAGGAGGACCAGTTAAACCTAGGAATTTGAGGTTACTGAGAGGTAGGCTGACACCATGGCACTCTAGCCTGGTTAACAGAGTGAGACTCTGTCTCAAAAAACAAACAAACAAATGGAAACAAATAAACAAACAAAAAAAAACTTGACTTTAGAAAATAACATTAAAATTGCATCAGAAATCGGAGAAGGGCTCAAAAGTTTAGGAAGATACTATCGTTAAAATTAATAGTATAGGGCAGTGAAAATTAAAGTGGGAATTTGAGGCTGTGAGGACATTCTCTCAGGTGAGAATAACATTGTTTTATATACAAAATGGATAGGCAAAAAGAAAAATTTAGGGAGGTAAATTAAAGAAAAAATGGTAGACAGAAGCTGGGTTGGGGAGAGGACAATGGCCATTTCATAGATGGGATTAGTTTAGATCAATGGCAGAGGTGGAAATGAGAAAAAGAATTGTAAAGAGATTAGGCTGGTTAATATGTAAGCAAAAGATGGGAATGTTTAACAATGAGCATATAAAGTTGGGGCACACAGAATTAGATGCAGGACTTTATAGAAGAAAGGTCTTACTCTTCTAAGAAATTAATCTGTCATGTGACCTTTGTATGTAGGAGAAAGAGCCATAAAGTTAGATGAGAAGATCAGAAAGTTCTGTTTTTTTAGTTACTGAATAAAATCAATGTCTTAGAGCCACACTTATCTGTAAAATGAAGATAAAATATTGTCCCTATTTTTCCTCTAGGCTAGGTGTGAGGGAAAGTGAAATCCTTGCAGCACTTTATAAAATAAAAAGTGCAGTACGAGTGTAAGCCATTATTACTGTCATGTTGGTAAAATGACAGTCTTCTCTTTGGTACATCTCCCCTCAGGAGTTTGAAACTAAAGAGTTATAGAATATATCAGAATTCAATTTAAATTATCAGCACTTTAGAAATTAAAAATTAAAATGAATGGCCAAAAGATAATTCTATAAATATTAATATCATCTCTCAATATATCTACCCATCTACCAATCTGTTTTATCCCACAATCAATAAGTATAGGATCTGTGAATTGAAAAATTAGAGAAATTTGGTTTGGTACTTGGTCCAGTTCTGTGAATTTACAGAAGACAGAGGTTAAATTCACACAACAAATTAATGGCAGACCCAGAACTAAATTCTGTGTCTTGGTTTTTGGGAACATGTTCTTGAACATGCCTTTTGTACGGTGTTTTGAGCACTTAATTTGAAATCTCTTGAGTAAGACTATTGTCACAATTCGATTTCTTTATAGTAAGGTACCTATGAAAAATGTAGGTCAAAAAGTTTGAGATAAAGGGTATGGGTCACAAATACTGTAGGATAAAAATACCACTTGAAGTCATAGAATCATTATTATTACAATTTAATATATGAAAATTTAAAGGCAACTAAATACTCCATTTAAAGCAGCTCTATATACTGCTCTAAATACTCCATTAGCAGCTCTAAATACTCCATTCTAAGCGGTTCTTAATTTTGAATAATAATTACCTCATTATACATATAAGAAACAGTTGTTCATACATGTGTGCTAATACATGTGTGTTAATAAATGCATCCCTGAGGGCAAGAATGACTTAGAAAATTGTAAGTGCATATGAAATGAACAATTATTATTATTTATTTATTTTTTACCTCTAGCATGGTTTGATACGGCCTCTTCAGGTTGAGGATGTGCAGATTTCCAACAACTGGCAAAGGTCTGGGTCCTGGAGGAGAGTGTTGCTTGGGACCTTTAGCCATGGAGATTTTAATACTTAGAATAAAAATAAGAATCAGGACCAGAATTGGAAATAAGGCAGAAAAATCAATCCCACTCATGATTGTTAAGTTGAAGTAGTTATGAAAGCAATAGAGATATTCGTGATTGCAACCAAATCAAATCAGCAGCTTCCAATGCAAACTGATGGCGTGAAGATGTTACTAATAATCTTTGCTCTACCCTACTGTCTATCTGTTTTATAATTGAAATGAACTAAGCCCTACACTGTATCTTTGCCTTTTCTGAGCTCCTTTCCTCTTTCTCCCTTTTTACTTCTCATTTCCACCTGTTTTATAAAGGCTGGAAGGATTTTCTTTTCATGCAAAACAAGGATTAGTCTTAAAATTTCAGAGAAAACAACACAATGTGTTTAATCTTCAATATGAAATTTAAGCTTTCATAATATACGTTAATTGTATTATTTGCCAAGGTACACTATGATCTGTGTGTGGTTGGTTAAACAACAAAATCGCACCAGGGATTTCAAGCTTTTTATGCAATAATGAGTTCATACACTTCCACCTCTTAAAAAGAGCCTCACAGAGGCTCTTGAGGCCAGAGAAAGAACATTGTTTTTAAAGTTAATGAGGGGTGTTCCCACCCATTACCCATACTGCAAGGGTACATGTCAAATCTATTAAGTGTAGAGTATAAATGTCTTAACACAATAATAAGTAGGTGAGGTGAAGGCTATGTTAACCAGTTTGATGTAAGCATAACAAATTGTATATAAAATAAGCACATTGTACCCCATAAATGCATTAATGTATACAGTTATGAATTAATAAAAAATAAATAAATAAAAAAGAAAGTTAATAAGGGGAGGGCATTGACCTTCAACAAGGTACTTAAGGTCTTTGACCATGGGTTTCTTCAGATCATTCTGAGGAAGATAACAATACATAAATGGTTGAATGATTAAGATGAATAAATAATTTAAGAAACATACAACTCCTTGTGTGTATTTAAAATTCAATACCTGGCATTCCTCATTTATTTTTCCTTTTCATTCAGGGATAAGCTTTCTCATCTATGTTTGTATTCCTCTCTAGATGCAGGAATTTTTTTACTTTTCTCTCATCGAATTTTTCATCATTTTGTGCTCCTGATGTTTAACCATGTATCTGGGAAATAGCTCATTCTAGCTGACTTGTTCAAAGAAGAAATGTATATCTTTTTGTGTTGGAATCACTGTGAATAAAAACAGACACACTCGAACAATCGTATCTGTATCTCTTACTTGATACCCATTTTTCCTCAAGTCTTTACTAGTTGCCATGTATAAAAAGATGGTCACAAAAGTTTCCTGATTGCTCTGCTTTCAGTGTATAAGGAAAATTGATATGGTCATCCTTATTTTCTGGGATATGAGTTAAGAAAGCTAGAAATTTTATGGCTTGGCACCCATAGCACAGTGGTTACGGTGCCAGCCACATACACTTAGGCTAGCGGCTTTGAACCCAGCCTGGGTCAGCTAAACAACAATGGCAACTGCAACAAAATATAGCTGAGCGTTGTGGCAGGCGCCTGTAGTCCCAGCTACTTGGGAGGCTGAGGCAAGAGAATCACTTGAGCCCAAGAGTTTGAGGTTTCTGTGAGCTGTGATGCGGCAGCACTCTACTGAGGGCAACATAGTGAGACTCTGACTAGAGAAAAAAAAAAGCTGGAAAATTTCTATCTACTATTAATTATTGGGAGGGGAGTAATGAGATCTCTGATCTGCCCATCGTTTCCAATTTACCTGTTTTCTTTGCAGTTCTCTCCATTTTTGATTTCATGTATTTTGAAGTTCTGCTCTCAGGGAAATAACTAGGATTTTTTTTAGCTGTTTTAATATGAATTACGTTTTTGTTCTTGGTTATACTTTAAAGTTTACTTGCTCTAATACTACTATAACTCTTCTAGCTTTTTATGACTAATATAAACATGGCACAACTTTTTTTCATCCTTTTACTTTTAACCTATTTTTGTTCTTATTGAATATATTTAAAGTGCATTTCTTTTTTGTTTTTAACACAATAAATTGCTTTTATTTTGGTATGCCTTCACATTTCTGGATTTAGTGGTCCTGAACAGAGGTGAAAAAACACAGCAATTTTCAGGGAAGGCAAGCCTGCCAATTTTGGAGATCAGCTGTGCACACCCAGTCCTTTCTGGATCCCCGTTGAGGATGGATCGTGAGAAACAGCAGGACCAAAACCACAGCAAGCATTGAATTCAAGGTTTTTTGTTCCAGTTGTCAAACTCCAGCCTGACCCTAATTGATTGCAAGGACGACCAAGGATAGCCCTGTTTAAAATGTCTTCGATTTTTGAAAGCAAAAGCAATTACAGGAAAAGAAAACAATTCAGAGGGATCGTCTGTGCTTTCAAGGGTTTTCATGTGGGCTTTCTCCATGTTTAACCACCAAGGACCCTGAGAGCTGGCAGATCTGAGTAACCCTGATGACTATTCTTTTCACCTTATCAAAACATGAGCTAAAAAAATCATCAGCTGATGATGACAGCAGAGGTGACAGGGCAGAGGATCCAATTCATTTCCCAGGCTGGGGGAGTGAATAAATGCATTTCCAAAACTAAATGAGGGAGGTCAGAGACTCTTTCCAATCTTACCTGATGGCTTCTGGCCAAAGCAAGAAAGTGTCATGGAAAGTGTTGGGTGCGACAGTGCAAAGATGGACTTGAGGAGGTGGGAGGAGAAAGCAACACCCCTTGATACGGGTGGGGGAAAGAAGATGAGAAAGCCCTGAATTCCTCACTACACCCCTATTTCAGAGGGGAGGGGTTACAATTTATGCTTAGGACAAGAGAGGGAGTGGAGGAGAATGGGAAGGGGATGATAGCTTGGAAGGGGGCATCATGTAAGACTTAAAGAAATCAAGGGTGCAAACAAAGCACCCCACACTCCCAGCAGTAGTCCCACAAGCTGTGACCTGAAACCTTCACATCTACTCTAACAAGCTAGAGGGCTGTTGGAGGGAGAGGAGGAGATAGGGGCAGGTGAAAGGAGAGAAGGCAGAGACCCCAGGCCATGTAATCGGCAGCAAGGTGATTGTGTGCTGAGTCTTTTCACTGTTGTGTTAGATGTGTCCACCAGCTATGATGGGAACCGATTTAGATACACTTTATTGATCTGAGAAGTTCAGCTATGTGGACAGTCGTTACACTAGACATGATGATTTGTTATGGCACAACTTATATATTTCAAATGGACAAAAATTAGTATTATTTACAGTATCTTAAGCCTTTGAACGGGAGCTTCCTTTCTAATACTTTCAGGGCTACAAGACGTATCTAGAAAATTTACTACTGTGGAAAATGAGGACTGCTTAAATTGAATAAGGTGGAGACGGGAAGGGCCGTGGTTTTGCTTTCACTGTCCTGCAGGTGGCTGAGGGAGTTTCATATTTTCTTTAGACATCATTAGGCATTAAAGCTCTTGATGCTTTGATGCTATATGAATTCTGCCATTTTGCTAGCACTGACATGGCTCTTGGGTCCACCACTCCATTAGCACTATTAACTCCATTCATGTTAATTTTTGTTACAATCTTACAAAGGGGGTGCTTCTGGGTATTTAGGTCCACATTCTATTTTAAGGCTGTATATTTGGTTTTCATAAATTGTATTTGGAGGCTCTATTATCATCCCTGTCCATCTTGTAAGTGTCATGTCTTCATCGTCTTCTAGACTCCAGCTAACCGATGAATTGATTAGTGGCTGGCCGTCAGTCCCTAGGTAGCTTCAGGATGGGGGTTGGTCACAGGAAAGACCAAGGGATAATTAGAGGGTTGAGTCTTTTGGCTCCACCTCTGATCTCTGGGGAGAGGAGGAAGGGTGAAGGTTATGTTGATTATCAAAGGCCAATGACTTAATCAATTACGCCTACTTAAAATGAAGCCCAAATGAGCTGAGTTGAGCTAAATAGCTGAGCACACAGAGGTTCCTGGAGCTGGCACACCCAGAGAGTCATGGAAGATTCCACTTTCTGCTCCTTATTTTATACCTCACCCTGCCCATCTCTGCATCAGTATCCTTTGTGATATCCTTTATTAATAGTCCATGGTGTCAGGTTTGAATCAGCCTAGTTGTGCTAACTTAGACTCAGCGCTGGAAGGTTTCATGATGACTCTGTGGCCAATAAAATGCTTTCAAATTCATCTTTTATTGTGAGGCTTTTGTGCACAATCATGCAGATAAATTCACACACACAAGCAGTAATAAGATAAAGGGGGAACAAACCATAGTGAGCGTTGAAGAGACCAGCACCCAGACAGGTGAACCTGGCAGGTCCAGAATTTCTTCAAAATGCTGATCAGGCTTGGGGGTGGGGCAAAAGGTCAGGGGGCGTGGCTGGGGGTGGGCGGCACTGTTCTCAGGCACAGCTTCCAGCAACCAGGCTACTGTTAGCCCAGAGGCCTGAGAATTCTCCTGGGCAGAGCTTCTGCAGGTGTGTTGGCCATGGCTGCTCTCTTTGCTGTCTTATGGACACTGTAGAAGTGTCAAAGGTCATTATCTCAGCTGCTTTTCGGCGTCAAGTTCTTGGTTCTTATGAGGTCTCCTGGGTCCCAGGTGCTTGGCCACAGCTGGCATTATCTCATCCCCACAGTCCATTATATGTACGTTTTTCATTTTGAGGGGTCAGCAGTTTCACTGTGGGCTGAGTCTCTTGTTAAGTGCATCCACGCTGAACATTTAGAATCATAAAACACTATATAACACAAGCCAGTAAACAAAAATAAGTATTTCTTGGAGTTCTATCAGCTGCTATAGCAAATTAATTAAACTCAAGAAGGGGGTTGTACTAACCTTACTTTATCAAGCAAGTTGGGGCTTGTGGTTGACATTTCACATGGGGGGCAGTCTTTTGGAACTGAACCCTCAATCAGTGTGATCTGTTGCTATCTTCAGGTAGATAGTGCTAGAATTGAGTTGAATACGACAGCCAGCTGGGGCCTGCTAGAATTACTGAGTGACTACTC